TTATGGGGTAGGTTTGGTTTTATCGCCATTAGCTGTGTCTTCTTCAAATGGTCCCCTGCTACCAACAAGAGTAATCAAGAGTTTCTCACTTCGTTTTCTTGCACTGATATCTGCTTTAAGACAACATATTTTTTTCATCTTCTTTACACTTATTAATTAACATTAGGTGGTATTTACTTTGTAAAATTAGGTGGTATTTACTTTGTATATGTGAACGTGAATTGAAGTCACCCAGAGAAAAAGAAATCCTAAGATCTCTCTCTCTTTTCTCTCTCTCTCTCTCTTAAATGTCACTTCAACAGAGGCTCTGCGTGTTCCAAAAACCAACCCACAACAACATGGCTCGCTTCATGGTAAGTTGCAATGTGTGTGATATTTAACAATCAGGGATCAGTTTTTGACATTCAATTATCAATCTGTATAGACATCAAGACATGGTGTTTTAAGTAACAAGGTTATAGGAATCATGAACTGTAACATCCGGATTTCCAGGGACATTATCGTGTATGTTAATCTTGAGATTTAAGGAGGGACTCGACGAGTTGAGGGACCAACTCGCCGAGTCGAGTCGAGTTGATCGCGTGAATTTAATAAAGGACTCGACGATTCCGAGGGGGGATTCGCCGAGTAGGTACTGGGCACAGAAAACCCTAATTTCCTGGGTTTGTGACCTATTTAAAGGAACTTATAGCCTCATTTGCGGCTACCCTTCCTTAAGAGCAAACCCTAAACGTGTATGGAAAGCCATGAGAGTCTTAGAAGCTAAAACTTGGAGTAAACTAGTGCATCTCTTGAGGAGAAGAGGAGATCACCCATCAAGGGAGCTAGAGAATCAGTGGATCTGGTGTAACTTCGTGCAAGAGCTTGAGTAAGAGGTAAAAGCTTGCACCTTTCTTGTTATTTTGCTTAGATCTTGTAGATATGGAAGATTAGGGTTTCTTCCACCATTGTTGGGACTTTGTATGCATAAGGTCTCTCATGAGGCCTAGACTTCAGATCTGGACCTTGTGAGGTCCAGAGAGTCCAAAGATTATAGCTTTAGTTAACCATAGAAGAGTTATTGTGGTTAATCATCCTTGTTAGAGTTATATTGGCATTATGAGCCTTATATGCCATGTTTAAACGTAAAGCTTGCAACTTTACGTGACAATCGACCCTCAGGATGGTAGATCTAGTGTTTGGGGTGATGGATATGCCTTAAATCGTCTGAATGAACTCGCCGAGTCGATGAGCCGACTCGACGAGTTGGTTAGGGTTTGTCCCGAGGAACCGAATCAGGCGATAGCTCGACGAGTTGGGGGTCAACTCGACGAGTTGAGCTGGACTGTCATGATATTTCTGAGGAAAGTAAGTGGACTCGACGAGTCGCAAGGGTGCACTCGACGAGTCGGGTCAAACATGGACTGTTGACTCGAGTTTGACTTCTGTTGACTTTGGGGCTTTGATCAACATAAGTAGTAGAGACCATGGAGGGGTAAAATGGTCTTTTATCCACTTCAAAGAGTTAAAGAGAGGAAGAATAGCCTTCGATCATTAGAGTTGTGATTAGAGTATCACTTAGAGATATTCATCCCTTGTGTTAGGTGGTGGGTAGTTCGAAATCCGGGAGCGGGGTCTTTACTTGCTGCTGGTCAGGTGAGTCTTCTCACTATACTTTACCATGAGTGGTAATTAGAGTTATGTGACAGAGTATCTTGTATGCTATGTATGTGATGTGTTCCACTGCATTATTTCTATGTGATTTATGCTGTGTGTATTCCAGAGTTTACAGAGTTAGGACCAGGGGGTCCACAGAGTTAGGACCAGAGGGTCCACAAAGTTAGGGCCAGTGGGCCCACAGAGTTATAGCCTCGAGTGGCTAATATGTGTTATATGTGGTATTTTGGGGAACTCACTAAACTTCATGTTTACCGTGTTATGTGTTATGTGTTTCAGGTATCTCAGAGGATCGCGGGACGGCACCGGCTTGATTGTACACACCAGAGAAAGAGTTATATTTTGAGGATCCTGGATTATTAATGGAGTGGTGCTTGTAATTTGAATAAACGAGATTTCTATACAAAATGTTATGAAAAATATGCGATTTTAAAAATGAAAAATTTGTTTGAAAAATTCGGTGTTACATGAACAAGGCTTTCTCAATTTACCAATTTTTGGATCTTCTGCATTGTATGGAACTCGACTCCTTATTCATAATACATAAAACCTAGAACTTTAACTCAACATTGTAAACTTTTTTTTGTCTTTTGCAGCACAATGGCTCTTTTTTGGTGGTCAATTGAAAGTAAGATGCATATCTCTATGGTTCAGTGAATGTGACATTTAGGCTTATTTGCACTGCATAGGATAGGATTCAAACAATTTTTTTGCAATGTTTCAAGCTAAAATTGTTTATCACTTCATAGTTGTGATGTTATTTTTTTTTCTTCTTATAGCTTTAGATATCCTGATAAGAGTAGACCCAAATATTAATTTAGTTACACTTTAGGTTACTTGGTAACCCTATTTTGTGTTATTGTTTGGCAATAAATACAAAGACATAAAAAGAATCATGTAACATTTCACATTGGCTTTGGGATATGTTGTTAACGTACTTGCAAAGTTGTAGGTTAGAGATTCTCACATGTCAGGTCCATAAAATTGTGTTCTAATAAATGCAAGTTTTGGTATTGTGACAACCTCGATCCACTATCTGGCTAGCCTTTTCTTCTTTGTCCGCTTATTGGATATCTTTTAGAATGGATCACCCAAATTTCTATATGTGGTATTATTGAGTATTCAACAATAAAAAGGTATCACCATTTTAGTTGGTGTGCAATTTTTTGTTCCTTCTGCTAATTGCTTTGATGGATGCACTATAAAACGACTTTAAGGATAAAAAGGTACATTGGTATTGAATTCTTATTAATATAACACCTTGCAATATAAGCACTGTAGTCGACTTCTCCTTAATATTTGTAGAAATATATTAAATTTTACATTTCTATGTGAATTGTGTATCTTACGGTTAAATGGATGACTTATATCAAAACACGTTAAACTATTTATTGTTTATAGTTAGATTATTTAAATTTGAAAATATGGTATGAATAGTATTATAAAATTTATTAAAAATTCCATTATATATAAAACATCAGTTTTGTTTTATCATATATATATGAACAAAAGTAAATAGGTGATATGAGTTTTGATTATATAGATTTGGAAAAATCATTTTAAATAAATATAAAAGAATAAATATATTTTGTACCTCATATAAGATACATTCAACAACAACAAACGTAATGCTTTGTATGTGAATGACCATGCTAAAATCAAAATCCAAATCCTAAACCTAAAATTTTCCCAACTCCAAACTCTAAATCTCAAACTTTAAACCCCAAACCTTTAACCATAAGCACAAATACATGTCAAAACATCTTTGCAAATAAAATTTACTAAAAGCTTCCAGCCATAAAACCCTCATAATTTGTGGTCAAATCTGTATTTTTTATTACCTGACATGGAATATAAGATGTTTATTGAAGAAAGCTATTCACAATCACCATTTTTATAAGAATGTGTGTCCATCTTAATTGTAAAGATATGTACGGATTCCTTCACTAAAAAGAAATTATTTTCCAAAAAAAAAAAAACTATACAAACCCCCTCCCCCACCCCTATGGCCGTCCGTCGCATTGCGCGGGTAACGGCTAATATATATATATATATATATAGATATATATATATATATATATATATATATATATATATATATCAACTCTAATAAATAAATGTTTTTTTGTCGCATGTCATTCTTACATTAACTTGGACACATATCATTTTTTGGTATTTTTGAATAAATGTTTTTTCCATTTGTCATTTTCTCATTTTTTATCTTTTCTTAATTAACAAATCAATTTTATACATCAATTAATATTTGCTTTAATTAAAAATAGTCAATAAATTACAATATTAGTACTTATATATATTGTATTTAATATGTTTCATTTTAAATTCAAATTTTAAATTTTAAATTTCAAATCAAAAATTTCAAATTTAAATATATTTTTGTTTAAACATACATATATATATTTTTTGTTTTATCCAACTCGTATAACATACGGGTCTTACAACTAGTATATATATATATATATATATATATATATATATATATATATATATATATATATATATATATATTGGAAACGTCAAACTACTTAAATGAAAGTCTACTCGTAATATTTTAACGAGCATCCCAAGTTGGAGCTTTTTTACAGGACAAACTCACCCTCCATAATAATCTATCAAACCAAGCGTTTATTAAAATCATCAGCAATACTATTAAACTTCTTTGGTATGGAAGCACGGAACGACGGAAGGTACCTTTATCCCTCACAAAAATAGATGCAATTCCATTAGTATCTCAAAAGTAACAAGAGTGAAAGAATTAATAAAAATGTTGAACAATATTATTGTGTATAGCATATATAAAATTAAAAATACTCAATTATTTATAGAAAAAAGAACAAATAAGTTTAGTTTCATTAACCTCTTTCTAAAATATAGTAAAATATTACTAACATAACCATTTTTGCATACGTACACACGGTTTCACCATTTTGAATTAGTGGCTATTTTGGTTATTATGCTAATTTTTTACTATTTTTTAAAAAGTAATTAATAAGCTTAACATTTTTTTTCTTGTTTCTATAGCCGCTGCATTTAACAGAAGATACGTGCATAATTGTGGATCGTCGATAGTCCGAGGTCTCTAAATTATTCTTTATCATGACATTAATAATTTTTTTTTTCTGAATATATTAGTACACATTCAAAGGACTAGATAGTTCCTGTAACCAGCGATTCTATATAAGATTAAAATACAACAAAAGTTATATAAAATATAACAAAATTTGACATTTTATCGAAGTTTACTTAAATTTAAAGACATAACATCTTCTTTTTGAAACACATCCACCACTTACAAATTTATTAATCAAAACAAATCATATAAAAAATTAGCCAGTGAGCTCCTCCTCCTTGTGGGTCTCGATGGTGACGTCAGAGGTCGGATAAGCCACACAGGTGAGCACCCACCCTTCCTCCAACTGGTCGTCGTCGAGGAAGCTGCCGTCTGATTGGTCCAGACTGCCGGAGACCACTTTCCCGGCGCATGATGAGCAAGACCCAGCCCTGCATGAGTATGGCAGATCGATACCGACTTCCTCCATGGCGTGGTCAAGGATGTACACGTCATCAGGGCACTCGAACTCCTGGGTTCCTTCCGGGGTCACGAGGGTGACCTTGTATGTGGCCATCATGGTAACTCCGCCGCGGTTACGGATGCCGGTGTTGGATTTGAGTCCGAAGAGGGCTGCTGTTTTGTTGGAGGCGGAGAGAGAACGGATGGCGGTGGTGGGCTGTTGGCGGCGGAGGAAGGATGTGCTGGCCATGGTGCCGGTAAGAGATGCGGTTGCTGCTGCCATTGTGGTGGTGGTTGTGGTTCGGAGAGACAGAGGGAGAGATGGAAGGGAGTAGAAGTAGTGAGAATGAGGATAGCAAGGAGGGCTTGTGGAAATAGTGTGTCTTGAGGATGAGATATCTGCCACATGTCAGATTTTTGTGGTGTGCTTTATCATGTTATCACAATACGTCTATTTTTTTCGCCGATTTTCATTTGTTTATGGTATTATTTTAATAGTAAACATGATCTCGGATGTACTTTTCTACATGTGCTTGTGGCCTTTCATTTTATAAGCATAAACCATATAATATAATTTATCTTTATCATAAAAGAATATTATATTTTAATAATTTTTGTGATTTACTTTTAATCATTATATTTCAATTTTATCAATAAATGGTAACTATTATATTTCAATTTTGTTAATAAAAACCATTTGTTTTGAACAGTTTTTTTTTTCCCACCACAGCCTATAGGAGCATATATTAGAGTTATCATAACAATTTTTTGGGAAATCTTTTCGGAAAAAATACATAAAATTTTGCCTTATTAATAGAAAATCCTTGCTAATTTTGTTTTTTAATTTTTGTAAATTGTCTTTTTTTTTTTCAAGGTACAAACGTCATTTTGCAAATATTTATCGGTTTTTTGGACTTAGTTATAAATAATAAATTAGGAATAATTTTTTTGTTAATAGGATTGAAGTTTATAGATTTTTTGTAGAGATTTCCCTTTTAGGTGGTAGGAGTAAAACCCACCTGGTAGGAGTAAAACCATCCCAGGTCCCAACTCACTCAACCTACATCACATCAGTTTTTTTTCTCTTTTATTTCTTTCATCTTTCTCAACCCATAACTGTCACGTCTCAAATTTCTAACCAAAATTTTCATTTAAAATAAAAGTATTTATTCAAATTACAACTTCAAAGATCTGGATAAAACCATTTGATTCAAAAATATTTATCAGAGTATCGTTAAAAGTTATTATGTGCGGAAATCTCCAATGGATGCGATGCAATCAAGTCGTGCCCCTCTTTTAATATAAGAAAACCTGAAAACATTTAAATCACAACCATAAGCACAAAGCTTAGCGAGTTCCCCAAAAATACCTCACACAACAATACACATACAATGCATGCACACCAGACCTACAACACAGGGTTGGACCGCCTCCTGAGCCTACAACACAAAGGTGGACCGCTCCCGAGCCTGCAACATATAGCTAGATCGTTCCCGGGTATATTGGCATTCAACACAAAGTAGTACCGCCTCAACCCAACCACATTATCCTGATGCTGCAACACAAAGTTGGACCGCTCCCGGGTTACAACTCCCAAAACACATGCTCAAGGGAACCAAAAAGTGACAAATATGAAAAATAATAAGATCTATGAAACCAATGAGCAGGTTACAAGCTTTTTCCTCACAATGGTCCAGGAATGAAGCAACCTTGATGGATCTATACTTGAACCCTTATTCCATGCACTTTACAAAACACCTTGTTCTTCAAGATTTAACCATCAAATGAAGAAGATAAGCATGCAAAAGATGCCAAGGCTCAAAACAAGCAATAAAAGGCTAGGGTTTCTTAAGGAATGATATGAGGTGATGGAGTTTGGTCATGGGAAGGATCCCAAAAAATTAGAGCCCTTAAATATGGCTCAAAACCTTAGGGTTAGGGTTTTGGTATGCATTGGATACGCCCAGCGTAGTTTAACCTACGCTTAACGTAGGTCATTAAATGTGTGCCCCATATTCATCAACTACGCTCAGCGTAGGGCAAAATTCCTAATTTCCATTTCAACTTCAGACAGTCATAACTTCTTCGTTTCAATTCTGTTTTCGGTGATCTTTATATCCATGTGAAGGTATTGATGTAACGCCCGCAGATTCGGGCTAGTCAATTTAAAGACAATAAGCGTCAAAAATGACTTTTGATAGAAGATTATTTAGAGTAAATAATCTTGACCAAGTTATAGTATATGTCACAAGGGTTTCGTACATATAAAGAACGCCGAAATCCGAGTTATAACGAAGAAGTTATGACCCGTCAGAGTTTTACGGCAAAACCGGCACGACACCGCGTAACGTAAAAAGTGAATTTTTGATAAACTACTTTTTAGCCTTAGAGATCTGAATGAAAGTTTTAGTATACGTTAAACGGAGAGCATGCGTAAAAAGAACGTCAAAATCTGACTTTGTATGAGGAACTTATGATTTTTCTAAGATTTCGCATAGTAGTATACAGCCCGTAAATCGAATTTAAGATCGAGCGATTTTTAGCCGACACAAACTAAATGAGAATTTAATATTTTATTAATAGGATTTCAAAGATAAAAATACAGTCGAAAACGGAGTCCGTATGTAGAAGTTATGAATTTTACACGGTCGTTAGCAGTGTAATCTTCTCATACTGCTTAATTTAAAATTAGTCAAGAAATAGCCGATGGAGTCAAAAGTAGAGTTTTAGATATTGTCAATACCTACGCGTGGATATAAAATAACGTCAAAAATAGAGTTCGTATGCGAAAGTTACATAATTTAGAGGTCGGAAGGGTGCTGCTGCGAAGTGGGTGATGTGGCGCGATCTGAGCCATTGCTTTCTCCCCACGCATTGCCACCAGACGGTAACATGTGGCACCAACTCGACGAGTTGGAGGCCAAAACTCGAAGAGAGGTTCAAAATTCATCCTATAAATAGCATGCGAGAGTGCCTTCATTTCTCACACCAAAAACCCATTCTCTCTCTCTAACTTCTCTCTAAGCCTCCCAAAACCCTCCCAAAGACCTAGTAACCTCTAGGTGCTAAAGGAAAACCCCGGAACGCCCGAAGGCTCCGAGAAAAATAGCTATAATGTATTTAACTACACGCGGTATGAGGAATTTGGTTTGAAGGGCCGCATAGGGTTGTTGGATTTTAGAAGTGCTATAATGCCAAAATGGTTCTGCCCTCCGGTGTTTCATGTCTGGCCTCTGTCTATACATAGTGGTTGAAATGTATTGTTTAACACTTATAAAACAATATCGCTCATAAATAGTCGTGATAAATATTAGACTAAAATCTAGTGGTAATAATACTAGGTTTCATCGAAGGAAATGATATTGTTAAGAAGCGAAGTGTTGTCCAAGTTGGAATCACCACTTTAACGAGTGAGTGCATAGTTACTTTCATCTTACACATAGATATGAAGTATTTAATATAAATTACGTGCTATGTGTGCATATCATTTGTGTTCCTAATATCTATGTTGGATGAACGATTTATACATGTTTTAAATGATTTAAACTGTATATGTATTTTATATCTACGAATATGTTGGGCAGAACATGGGTAGATGAATGATGAGGGGTGAAAGATGATATAGATGAATATTGGCAGCTACGCCACAACCTGTAGATGTTTTTGAACTACGATGTACTCTAAACATCCTAGCAGTTGCGCCTAAAGGATAATATCGACAGCTGAGCCTAATATAGAACGTCATAATCCTGACGGTTGCGCCTAAATGATAATATCGGCAGTTGTACCTAATAGAGAACGTCATAACCCTGGCAGTTGCGCCTAAATGATAATATTGGCAGTTGTGCCTAATAGATAACATTGGCAGCTATGCCATAGGCAATGATGGACTTCGTGCCTATTTCTTAGGATAATCCTTAGGGATGAATGAATGAAGAATAATTGATTCTTAGGGTAAATCCTTAAGAATAAAGAAGATAATAGGGATGGGTAATTGGGTTTATTGTGTGATGATGAAACATAATAACTTTATTATTATGGGTTGAAAACCCTATGTACTCACCAGGTTTCCCAACCTCACCCACTCAGTTTATTTGTATCACAGGTGTCGATACAAAGCTATATTACACTGAGAGATTAAAGGAGATCGAAATCACTAGTGTAAATGAATGTAAGGTCTGTTTATGCTTATGTTTCTGTATTGACGATGACATCCCAAAGTTTTAATATAAACAAAATACATTTCATCGGAAATGCTTTGATAATATATTTATCATGTTTTTCTGGGAACAAATTCCGCAATATTATTCTTTAAAAAGGATACTCTGATTTTCAAATAAGCATAAATAAAATTTTTAAAATGACTGTGAATTTGGGGATGTTACAATTGACAAGCCCCACTGTTATATCTAATTATTTTTTACTTAAAACATACTGAAATAATTTCATTAATTCATGCATGGAGTCCGAAATATCACTCTTTCCATTTCACCCTTTACCTCCAAAGCAAAATTTAAGACGTAGATCACTTCTCCAACATCATCAACATCCAATAGGGTCTAAACTCTATTCCTTTGAAGCCCAATACCCTTGCATGATCAAATTACAATCCAAAATCCTGGAATAAGAAATATCCTGAAACTGGGTGTTACTATAACACATGAAAATAATATCTTTCTCAAACCACTTGCCACATCACTATTTTTAATTCAATTATATAAGAAAATATAAAACTAAATAAAAAATAATATTTTTTAATTAAAAAAACTAGTACAAATAAAAAATACACGATAATTAAAAAACAAGACAATAAAAAACTACACGATAATTCTAAAACTCCCAACCATATTTTGCAGCAATTTGTGTAGGTGTTGGATGAAGATGTTTTGGTTTGTTGTGAAGAAGGAGGTGACGATTCTGATGGGTTTTGAGGATACCAACAATCCTATGTGTGCATGCAACCCTAAAAATTGATCTACGTTTTCTCTAATTGAACATACCATGTGAACAATAATGTGTAAACCCTAGGATACTAGCATATAATCGAAATTACATTATAAAGGGTTACAAAACATACCTTGATTGTTATTAAGCAATAACAATCTAATTCCTTGATGTTGTTGAAGCTTTAAGAACAAGTGTCACAGTTGTCACACCTCTAATGACTCACACCCAACACTAGCAATTGAAGGAGATTAAGGAGAAGGAGAAAGGAGGCAAAATTTCGGCTAGGGTTCTCTAAGAATAATTGGCCGAAATCCTTAGGGTAAACCCATTTATATA